CTTCCCTTCCACTCTGTTGGTTGTTTCTTTGCTGTGCAGAAGCTTTTCGGTTTGATATGATCCTGTTTGTGGTCTCTGGGTACTACTTCCTGTACATCTGGGGCTCTGTTCAGAAAGTCCTTCCCCATGCCCATGACTTCAAGAATTTTGCCTATTTCATCCTCCAGCAGCTTAAGTGTTTCTGTTTTAACATTTAATTCTTTACCCATTTTGATTTTAGTTTAGTACATGGTGAAAGACATGATGAAAGATATCTAGATTCAATCTTCTGTGTGTGGATGGCCAGTTTTCCCAACACCATTTATTTATTAAAAAAGCTATCAGCTGTGCATGGTGGCACATGCCTGTAATCCCACCACTCAGGAGGCTGAGGTAGGAGGATTGTTTCAAGTTTGAGGCAGCCTGGGCTACATAAGTGAGTTCAAGGCCAGCCTGAACTGCATAGCAAGACCCTGACTTAAAAAGACAAAAAAAAAAAAAAAAAAATTAATTAATGTATGTTTTTGGCCCCTTTGTCAAAGATCAAATAGTTGAACATACTTGGGGTAGTTTCTGCATCCTCTGCTCTGTTACTGTTCATATCTATTTTTGAGCCAGTACCATGCTGTTTTTATCACTGTAGCTTTGTAATAGAGCTTCAAATCTGGGATTGTGATGCCTCCTGCTTTGTTCTTGCTTTTGCTATTTTGGGTCACTTCAGATTCCATATGAATTTTAGGATTGCTTTCTTCAGTTCTGTGGAGAATGCTGTTGGTATTTGGATTGAAATGGCATTAAAATCTATACATCAATTTTGGCAGTATGGCCATTTTGACTATTTTGATTCTGGAACAGGGAATGGGCTGTCATAATTAAGAGATTTCATGAATGGAACTAGGGCCAGGTATAGTGGCACACATCTGTAATCCTAGCACTCAGGAAGCTGAGGTAGGAAGATGGCCACAAGTTCAAGGGCAGCCTGGGCTACATAGTGAATTCAGGCCAGCCTGAACTATATAGTGAAACCTTGTCTCAAAAAACAAAAAACAAAACAAGAATGGAGTTAGGGTTTGTGATATAGTTAACTGCTTGTGTCAATTTGAGTAAGGACCACCCAACTAAACTGGATCAGCAGGGTTCTGGGTGTGGCAGGGGGATTTACTGAGGACAGAGGACCTACCCTAGGGCATTCCTCACCTGAATGGTATAACAGGGAAGCAAAGAATGAAGGCTCACTCTGCTCTCTTTCACCCGAGAAACTGAACTCATCTTTACCTTGGAACGTTGTCTCCTGGCTTCCATCGCAGACCTTTCGGACTCACAGGGGACACTGAGCTGTCCCCTTCACCAGCCCCTTTGGTCTACAGCGAGCAGACAGCCCTTGTGCTCTTCCACACCTGGCTCTGCAGGCGGCCCACTGTAAGCCAACCTTGTAAATCCTTATACACTTATATATCTTGCATCAAATCTGTTTCTCTAGTGAGCACTGATACAAGGCTTCAACACATGAATTTTGGAGGAACACAACTCAGTTCATGATACAGGTCAATGTATTAGTCAGTTCTCTATTAGGACATTGAAGTACCTGACAGTGGGTAACTTTGTAAAGAAGGGAGGTAAGTAGCTCACAGAAGCTCACAGCTCCAGAGGTTAGAAGGCATGGACCAGCATTGGGTCCAGTCCTCTCAGCTGCATCTCGCCATGACAGTTCGCATTAGCAGATAAAGAGGAAAGGGATAACATCACTGGACAGGAGGCCACATGATTCAGGCTGGCAGGCTGTCTCTTTCTCTTTCTTTCTCTCTCGCTTTCTGTCTCTTTCTCTTTCTTTCTCTCTCGCTTTCTGTCTCTCTCTGTCTCTGTCTCTTTTCTATCTCTGTCTCTGTTGGTCTGTCTCTGTCTATCTTTCTGTCTCTTCTCTGTCTATTTCTGTCTTTGTCTCTGTCTCTCTGTCTTGGGGATTAAACATAGGACCATACTAATCACACACTACCACTGTGCCACATCCTTAGCACCAGAATGGGTGGGAGGGTTGGGCTTAGGCGGGTGTTTGTTTGGTTTTGGTTTTCTGAGACAAGGGTCTCACTATGTAGTTCAGGCTGGTCTTGAACACACTGCATAGCCCAGGGTGACTTCGAACTCACTGCAGTCCTCTTGTTTCAACCTCCCCACTGCTGAGATGACAGGTGTGCACCAAAATGGCCTACTCAGAATGCTTTTATTATAACTCACCCTTAGGAGAATGAATTCAGGACCCCTCAAACACTACCTTGATGCTAATGACCTCCCACCAGGCCCCACCTCTAAAGGTCTCAGTACCACACTGAGGCCTGAGTGCTAATACATGAACCTTTGGAGGACAAACCACATCCGGGCCACAGCAGCCAGACCCCACCTTCACACTGCAGGGAGATGTAAGCAGACACAAAAATATTACCTAGAATTCAAACGAAGTTCTTTAAATTGCTATGGCAAACAAGTTAACATCTTGGTCAGACAAAGCCAAAATGATTCATACTTCCTTTTTGTCTTTATTAGTCATCAATGAAACATGAAACTCATAATGTTCACACCGGGTAGATAGGATCCTATTTCTTAGTACAGAGCGGCCTCTATCTCTACACATTCTGGATCCTCAGAGTCAATCAACTGTGGATTGAAAATAATTGGGAAAATAGTTGTGTCTGTATGAACATGTACAAGCTTTTTTTCTTGTCATTATTTCCTAAGAAACACAATATAACAACTATTTACACAGTATACACATTATGTTTAAACTATAAACATAGTTTATAGTTTATAGGATGTGTGTATAGGACAGTTTATAGGATGTGTGTGAATTATAGGCAAATACTATGCTTTTTTTTTCCTTTTGATTTTTTTGAGACAAGATCTCACTAGGTAGTTTAGGCTGGCTTTAAAGTCACGATGGAACCCAGGTTGGCCTCAAACTCACAGGGATCCTCCTGACTCAGCCTCCCAAGTGCTGGGATTATAGGCATGCATCACCATGCACATTCTATAAAATAGAATGAGCATTTCCACTGGGCAATAGTAGGGTTTTCATGTTTTGTTTTATTTGTTTTTAAATAGGGTCTTGCTATATTGTTCAGGTTGGTTGCTAATTCCTGGGCAAAAGAGAACCTCCTGCTTCAGCTTCTGGACTAGCTGGGACCACAGATGTGTATCAACAGAATAGAACAGTGGGTTTTGTAAAACACAAAAAAGGAAACAGAATAATAGGAGGAAAAAAGTAACTGTTTAACATCTGGTTACGTTAGGTGACTTTTTGGTAAGGGCTAACACAGAAGCAGACTTCCTCCTTATGCTGAATTAGGTGGATTCTAATCCTTTTTTTGCAGGAAAAATGGCTCTGTGTGGGGTCTGTCTGCTTGTCTAAGGCATCCATTTGCTTATTTAGTACTTGGTGAGTGACTTTATATTGATGTGGTCTGTTGGGTGTAGGGCAGGAGCTCAGTCCAAATCAGTGGCTTCCTATGCACTTGATTCCACAATTCCTCCTTAGGTGAGATCCTCACCAAAACTCAGCTAACATCATTCTGGATTTCCACACATCATTCGTGGGTTGCAACATCCCCATGATTACACATTTCCTTGATGTTTTGTCTTTCCAGCCTAAAAGAGATCATTCAACATTTGACAGACAGATGCAAACATTTAAAACTCTGTGTGTGTGTATGTGTGTGTCTTGGTTACTTTTCTGTTGTTGCTGAGACAAAATACCTGACACCCAGAATTAAGGAAGGAAAGGTTTATTTAGCTCACAGTCTGTGGAGGTTTCAGTCCATTCTCAGCTGGCTCCAAGGCCAGGTGGCACAAGGCAAAGGGCATCCATTCATAGCGGCGGAAGACAGCAAAAGGAACAAGAGCGAAAGGAAGGAGGGGCAGCAAGCAGCCTCTTTCCCTCCCTTACATTGTATGCAAACTATCTTCCCCAGAGTGGTGTAGCACTCTCACCCATGACTCAATCATAAACTCCAAAAGCTGGCCCCATGACTGCACATGTCTTTGGGGGGACGCCCAGACACAAACCATAACAGCATGTGTTATGCTGGGGGTTGAGCCCAGGGCCTTTACATGGAGCTACCTCACCAGCCCCTTTCCCATTTTTCCTTTTGAGACAAGGGCTCGCTAAATCACTAGATTGCCCAGGCTGGGCTTGAACTTGCAATCTTCCTGTCTCGGCCTCCCAAAATGCTACAGTGGTGTGCACTGAGCATACATTTATAATCTGGGAGATAATTCAGCATACCTGGGAGGCTACTGCTATGACTGTGAGGAAGGTAACAGCAAGAGACAAAGTCTTCCTGGCTGGGGTCCCTGTGACCCAAACCAACTCAAACTGCAGAGATCAAAGAACAAGGTCACATGCAAAGATAACTGGTTGCTATGATTTGAATGCGTCTGCCAAAACTTGTGTTGAAACGTAATCCCCGCTGTGGGCTACCTTACTAAGAGGGCGGAAATTTAATCTTACTATGGTATTTGAAGTTGGGACCTTTGGGAGGTAACTGAAGTTAAACGAGGCCATAAGAGTGAAGCCCTTGTCCCATGGGATTGTGAGTTGGCTTTTTTTGGAATGGTACTGGAACTGAACCCAGGGCCTTCCCACTGAGCTACATCCCCAGCCCTTTTTTGAGACAGGAGTTGCTAAGACTGGGCTCAAACTTGTAATTCTCCTGGGAGTCTTGTCCTGTGGTTTTGAGAAAAGCTGTATGTAGCACGCAGTCATCAGTTTGTCTTGGTTTTCAGTTCAAATGTTTCCTGTTATGACATTAGGCATTCTAATGTGACCCACACATTAAGTAGAGACTCTTTGAATTCTCTAGCTTTGGCTTACAGAGAAGTTCTTTTTCTTAGTGATAACATGGAGGAAATAGAATTGAAAGAATTCAGGTTTCAGTCCACTCTAGAGGTAGATAATAAAAATTCAAAAACAGCCAGGGATGGTAGCACATACCTGGAGGCTGAGGCAGGAGGACTGCTTTGAGTTCAAGGCAAGATGGTGAGTCCAGGCCAGCCTGAACTACATAGTGAGACCCTGAATCAAAAACAAAACAAAATTCAAAAATAATAAGGCTACAGTCTAATAAGTACACAAAATAACTTTTTCCTTCTTTTTTTCTTAAAATATAATTTTTCTCTTTGTAGTCACCTCGTTTCTTCTAAAGATAATCAAGATAAGACTAATCTGTTTGTAAAATAAGTTTAACCTCATCAAAACTGGACTGATTATTTGCATAAATACAGGAATAATTGTGGTTGACCACACAGGTTCTTTTTAAGTTTGCTTTGCTGGAACTGTTGTGTTTCGCTCCCCCACTTTTTTTGAGACAGGACCTCAACACATAGTTCAGGTTGTCCTGGAACTCACTATGTATCCCAAGCTGAAGTGAATGGTGATCTTCCCACCTCAGCCTCCTGAGTGCTGGGATTACAGGCATGTGACACCATGCCCAGCTGAAGTATATATATTTTAAACTTTATTCAGCAATTAATATGTTTCAATTTTGGTTTGGTTTTTTTGTTTGTTTGTTTCGGGAATTGAACTCAGGACTTTGTGCTTGCCAGGCAGGCGCTTGTGCCGCTGAGCTAAATCCCCAGCCCGTGTTTCAATAATTTAACTTAGAAATGACTCGGCCATTTCATGAATATCTACAATTTAATTTCACATAACATAGTTAAAGGATTTTAAATGACTGAGATTTCTGAAACTATGAAATCTTCATTTACATCTATCCTTCTTATATCTGCCTAATTTTCTTATTAATAATCATGTTTTAATTGTTCATGAAAAATAAGTCTAGCCATCATCTTATGTTCTGACAAATCAAGCAGGTATCAAAACCATCACAGATAGCTGGGCGTGGTGGCACACACCTGTAATCCTAGCACCCGGGAGGCTGAGGCAGGGGGATTGTTGTGAGTTCAAGACCAACCTGGGCTACAAAGTGAGCTCAAGGCCAGCCTAAACTGCACAGCAAGACCCTATCTCAAAAAGATAATAAATAAATAAATAAATAAATAAATAAATAAATAGTTAAACATGGTTTTTCTCTTTCCTTCACCCCCTCTAACGAAATGCATCACACAGTTCATTTTTACTGTGCCTTTTGCTCTTCATTTGGAGTTCCAGTTTTATGACCTTAAAACATCTAGCAGAGATGACACAAATCTGTCTGACCAGCAAAACCATGTCCACTTTATATACTAGGGTAATTGTGGGGTGGTTTTTCTTTTTTGGTCTTTTTTTTTTTTAAGATAGGATCTATGTAGTTCAAGCTGTCCTGGACTCACCATGTAGACCAGGCTGGCCTCAAACTCACAGCGATCTCCCTGCCTCAGCCTCTTCAGGCTGGCCTTAAACTGGCCTTGAACTTTTAGGCATATGCCACCACTCCTAGCTAGGAAAACTGTTAAGACATTCTTATTTTTCATTTTACCAACAATTTTCAAAAACTAGCCATGTGGTACATAACAACATTTAAGTCTGCAACAGTAGTCCCATAAAATTATAATGGAGCTGAGAAATTTCTATCACCAAGTGACAGCATAGCCATTGAAACACTGTAGACCAATGCACTACTCATGTCTGTGGCAATGCTGATGTAAAAAACTTACCACTCTGCAGTTCTATAAGAGTACTGAGTACACAATTATGTGCAGTACGTAATACTTGATAACATACGACTGTTACTGGTTTATGTATTTCTTTTTTATGTATTTCTTATGCCATATTTATTATTATCTTAACAGTGTATTCATACTCATTAAAAAAAAGTTACTCTAAACAGTGTGTCCTGTTACACTGGCAGGAGTCTTATACCTCATATTAACTGACTGTCACATCTGTATCAAGCTACATCAAGTGACTGTCCTATACCATCCAGGTCTATGTGAGTAGATTACATTTGAACAAATGCCTAATGATACATTTTTTAGAAATTATCTCTGTACGTGATACATAATTTATAGTTTATTTACTTAAGTCACATGAACTAATAGGTAATTGAATTAGTTTCTCTTTTTTTAGATCATTACATTACTGCCAACTGGGGATATAGCTCAGTGGCACAGCACATGCCTGGCAAGCACAAGGTGCTGAGTTTAATTTCTAGTACTAAATTTTAAAAAAATCATGATTCTATATTACTGCCTAGTTTTATTCATTCATTTATTTTTTTGTTGGTTGGTTTGTTTGTTTTTGGTACCAGGAATCGAACTTAGTACCTTGTGCTTCCCAGGCAGGTGCTGTGATGCTGATCTACATCCCCTGCCCTTTTTTTGTTTCTTGTTTGTTTTTTTGTTTTTCTTTCTTTTTTTTTTTTTTTTTTGGTTTTTTCTCTGGTACCGGGAACCGAACTCACGACCTTGCGCTTGCCAGGCAGGCGCTTTTGCCGCTGAGCTAAATCCCCAGCCCCCTTTTTTTTTTTTTTTTTTTGAGATAGTCTTGCTATGTAGTTCAGGCTGGCCTTGAACTTGTGGAGATCCTTCTGCCTTAGCCTACCAAGTGCTGGGATTACAGGTGTGTGACACCATGCCTGGTCTGCCTAGTTTTTCCTCAGACCAGTTAAATAAAGTTTTTTGTAAATTTTGACATCATCTAACTTAGAAAAATATTATATATACCTAATGCATACATGTGTAGACAAAGACATAGAAACAAAACAGACCTTACAGCATTCACTAAAAGTTCTTTGAGCTGGCCATGGTGGTGTATGAGTAATTCTAGCACTTGGGAGGCTGAGGCAGGAGAATTACTGTGAGTTCAATGCCAGCCTTGATTATATAGTGAATTTAAGGCCAGCCTGGACTGCAAAGTTATACTCTGTGTCAGAAACAACAACAGCAACAGCAACATTTTACTACCAAAAAAATTCATTGGACAGTTTCCAAATAGTTTCTCTTCCTCTTCTAGAGTATCCATTTTAAAATTATCACTTCATTTCCCTGAGCAATTATTAGCTAAGCAACGCTAAATTTGTACCTCCAAAGAGATAAGGCTTCCCTAGAAAACCTACATTTCAAAGGCATGGAGAGAATCCATATTTTCTCTAAGAGTCTAGGACATGTTGCCTAATAAGAGAGGTCAGTTTTACAGAGGGCACAAACTCATTTTAGATCAAACTTCCATTTTTTGTCAAACTGGATTTGGTACATTTTCCTCCATTGGTCTGAAGATTTTTCTCCAAAGAATGGCTTTGAATTCTGGCTCTGCCTTGAAGTGACTCCTGGGATTGGGTCACATGTTAGACAGTGTGCAGTTCACACCACATTTCTTGATCCCAGCAGCTGCTCCAAAGCCCAGATGCCCAGCCCACACCCAGAACTCCTCTCCCAGGCACTTGTGTACACTGGCACATGCCCTGCGGGGGTGGCCAGTATCCAGTTAATCCTATCAGGATGGCTGTGCCCTGGGAGAGCACCAATTGGGAGGAGTTCAGTTTGGGTTTCAGACGAGGCAAACAGGAGGATCCAAATGGGTGCCGAGGCCATAGAAAGTCACAGGAATTCACTACAAGATTTTATAAGGAAGCACTCAACCACACCTAGGAGAAAGCTCCAACACAGAAGCCTGTTCAGTCACGAGCTGAATGCCAAGAAGGCAGGTTTTGTTTTTTGTTTTTTGTTTTTTGTTTTTAAGAAGGCAGGTTTTGGAGACAGATTTAGTTAGGTGACTTTTTTTCCAGGGCTGGAGATTGAACCCAATGCCTCAGGCTAGGTAGGTAAATTCCATATCCCCACCCCATAAAAGGGGACTTTTTTATAATTGGCTCATTTCTTAATCAGATTACCAGATTCATGGCAGAGCCCATTGACAAATATGGCAGACAAAGCATTTTCTGTGCCTGAACCCAGCATGGGAAGCTCTGAAATAGCTGCTTGCTTATAAAAGTGAGGGCCCAACTCTTACAAACATCGTATCTAGTTTTCTTTTCACCTTTGGAATGTGACAGTAACTGAGTTAGAAGGTTAGAATCAATTTTTAAGAATCAGCCACTTACAGTTTTTTATTTGCCTTTGTAGCTTTAAAAAGGGCCAACAATAAACAGTTTTTGAAATATTTTCAGAAGCTTCTGCAAATCAATAGGCCTCCCTGAGTGAGACTAATTCAAAAGCATTCATTTTAAATGTGACTGTTAAAGCTTGGTGTTGTCCATATGGAATATTCTTCATAATGGCCAGACTCATTTCTTTAGAAATTAAGGACCCCTTTTTACATTGAATCTTGGGTATCCCAGAGTTGAGATAAAAGCCTAAGCAGGGAATTGCCCTGGGGCTGGGGTATGCCTCTGTGTACCTCACTGCACAGACATTTTCTTTTTTTTTTTTTTTTTTTTGTCTTTTTGAGTCAGGGTCTCACTATGCAGTTCAGGCTGGCCTTGAACTCACAGGGTGGTCTCGAACTCACGAGGATCCTCCTTCCTCAGCCTCCCAAGTGCTGGGATTACAGGTGTGCGCCACCACATCCAGCCAGAGACATTTTTTTTTTTTTTTTTTTTTTTGCATCTTCTAGTCTGTTCCATTGATCTTTTTTTTTTCTGGTACCGGGAATGGAATTCATGATGTTGGCTTGCCAGATAGGCGCTGTGCCGCTGAGCTCAATCCCCAGCCCCAGAGACATTTTCTTGAGACACTACCCAACCCTGTTGCATGTCCAGCTTGCTCTGCCATGACAGTCTTATTTCTTCCTGGCAGGTCACTCTAGTCATGCTGAAGGGCCTGAACCAGAACCACCAGTCAAGTTGTGGTTTTGGCTCTAAGGCCCTTTCACCAATGCATCCATTGATTTCTCCCTACCTATGCATAAAATAAAATAAGAATTTCCAAAAGTCTGAGTTCATACCCTCGCAGTAAGTGCCATTCACTGCCCATTTCTGTCTGACGTGGTGGACATCTGACTCCTCAGTGAGACCAGTCTTGCTCTGTTCAGGCTTCCACTTTGCCACTGACTCCCCAGCCACCACATACTCCAAAAGGCCCTGTGTCCCTCACTGTACTACATGACCCTCGTACCCACCACAAGTACAACCACTGGATGTGACAGTCAAAAAGATTGAGGGATTCATGCAAAAAAGAGTAGTCTTGAGGCTGAGAAAGAAAGATTACTGCTAGTTCGAGGCCAGCCTGGGCTACATAAGGAGACCCTGTCTCAAAAAAACAAAAGAGTAGCATCTAAGCAGGGTATTATTCCTGTAATCCCAGAACTAGAATAGGCTGAGACAGATAGATCATGAGTTTGAGGCCAGCACAGGCTATCTATCAAGATCCTGTCTCAAAAAGAAAAGAAAAAAACAGATCTAGGGATATAGCTCCCTGGCAAGTATGAAGTCATGAGTTCAATTCCCAGTACCAAAACAACAACAACAACAACAACAAAAACAACAAACAAACAAGAAAGAAAGAAAGAAAGGAAGGAAGAGGGAAAAAAGCAGTCTGACCCAAGACAATTTTAAACTGATATTGGTAGCATATGCCTGTAATCTCCACTACTTGGGAGGCTGCTGCAGTTTAGTGAGATGCCTGTCTCAAAACAGAACAAAACACAATTAGCATATGGGGCATGGTGGTACACTCTGGGAGGCTGAGGCAGGAAGATTACAAGTTTGGGTCCTGCCTGTACAATTTAGCAAGACTGCCTCAAAATAAAAAAAATAAAAGCTGGATATAGTGGCACACACCTGTGATCCAAACACACAGGAGACTGAGGCAGGAGGATCACCATGAATTTGATGCCAGCTTGGTCTACTTAGCTCAAGGCCAGCCTGGCCTACATAGTGAGAACCTGTCTCAACACGAAACAAAACAAAAGCTATCTGGGAATATATCTCAGATTAAAGGCTGTGTTTAATCCCTAGTACTGGGATGGGGGGGGAATTAACAAAAGAGAAGCTTACTTACAATATTTGGGGATCCATGAGGAAGAGAAGAGACCTCAAAAGCGATCTGTGGCTCCTCTGCCTTCTTCAGGGGGTCTCAGGATCCACCAGCAACATCCATGAGGCCCCTTCATGGTCACCAGAACTGTGAAAAGACAAAATGACAACAAATTTCATTGTGGATCTTATTGGCTTTTATTTGCTTGTGTGAAGTGAGGCGGCCCCTCTGAGGGTTCCCATGGGCAACAGCAGAACAGTGGGCTTCGTGAGGTGGGAAGAAGGAGATGGAACCACAGGGGAGGAAAGCTAATTGGTGAACATCTGGTTATGGCAGCTTACTCTTGGGTAAAGATGAAAGCAGAGCAGACTTCCTTATTGTTCTGACTTGGGTGGACTGCAGTCTCATGTTTATAGAAAGGATGGTCTGGTTTCAGATTGATTGACTGGGCAGGGGTTAGGACAGTGTCTCACTGTGCAGCCCAGATTGCCCTTAAACTCACTCTGGTCTGGCCTCAAACCCAGGCTGGTCTCAAACTCACGATGATCCTCTGGTCTCATCCTCCTGAGTGCTAGGTTACAGGTGTCCATCACCATGCTCAGTTTTAAAGTTTTACTTTGTTTAAGTGGCCTTTAGTGTGAGTGACTCCACTTTGTTTTGGTCTGTTGTGTCTAGTGCAGGAGCTCTGTCCAAACTAATGGCTTTCTCTAAATATATCTAACATCTACTCTCATCCTACCAATCATTCCTATAAACTACTCACTAGATCAGCACCATCCAATAGAGTGGCCAAAAGCTATGTCCTTATTTCAATTTTAAAAGAAAATTGTATCGTTCCAGTTACTTGGGAGTCTGAGGCAGGAGGATTGTTTGAGCCCAGGAGTTTATAGCCACCTTGGGTAACATAGTGAGACCTCAATCTCTTTCTCTCTCTCTAAGAATTTTAAATTAAACTGAAAATCCACTTCTTTTACAAAAATTTTTTTCCAATCAGACTTCATTGGTACAGTTTAGGTATATATAATGATCACATTCATCATAGAGAATTTGAACTTGTACATATGACTCAATTCTTTTTTTTTTAATTTTTTATTTTTTATTTTAAAGAATAAAAGAAGGATAACATAATAATGGGGGGACTTAGCAAATTACAGACAAAATGGTAGGAAATTATCAATGGTTATTGTTTTACATATTATTATCTACAAAATAGTTTCTCAGGAAGACTCAATTCTTTTTTTCCCCATTCCCTTACCCTCCTTTCAACCCCTCCTCCTCTTCCCATTCACAAAAGCTTTGTTTCCATTTTTTCCTTCTTTTCTCATTTTTTTTTTTTTTTTTTTTTGGCTTTTCTCCGGTACCAGGAACCAAACTCACGACCTTGTGCTTGCCAGGCAGGCACTTTGCCGCTGAGCTAAATCCCCAGCCCCTTTCTTTTCTCATTTTTTAAATTGTTCTTTCCTTACCCCCTTTCCCCCTCCTTTGTTTGTCCTCCTCATTTGAACATTTTCTTCCTATTTCATAGTACCTACTATATACATTTTGGTCCTTATTTACACTTTTGGTATTTTCATACCAGAAGAAAATCCATTTCTATGGTTGCACTAGTCACTTTCCAAGTGTTGCATCATATGGCTTAGTAGTTCCTATACTGGAAAATGCACCGCAAAACATTTCTTTTGCTGCATAAATTTATATTGAACAACACTGTTTTAGCGGTGTCTCTAGAATGTCTGTATAGGAAAATCTTGTGGTTGGTAGTATGGTTGAAATAGGGAACTGGGGTTTGTCCTGAAATTGCATTGAATAGCATTTTGTACATAGATTATAAGTGTGTGTGTATGTGTGTGTGTGTGTGTACAGGAAGAGAGCTGATTGAAATTACTTGAGGATAAATAAGGAATCACAAACCTATGTCATTGGGGCTGACCCAGGTTCAGTCCTATCCTTACCAACCAAATAAACCAACACACACACACACACACACACACACACACACACGCTGGGCATGGTGGCACATGCCTATAATCCCAGCACTCAGGAAGTTGAGGCAGGAGGATTGCTGAGAATTCCAGGCCAGCCTAGGCTACAGAGTGAGACCCTGACTCAAGACACACACACACACACACACACACACACACACACACACATCATTATGCAATCATTGTTTTAACCACATTAAACTTTTTTTCTAAAAGGAAATTGGGCTTATTCACCTCTAGGCTGCTTTTAGGAGTGTTCCTTTTTGTTTTTGTGGTCCAGTTCTTGACCCCAGAGCCTCAGACATCCTAGGAAGTGCTCTACTACTGTGCTCTGTGCCCAGCCCTCCAGGCTTTCTTTAAAGCCTCACAATTCCCTCTGTACCAGTCAAGGTCCTCTCCACAGTCCTTCTCAACACAGTGCACCCCCCAAGGCCCGCCTCAAAAGCCCCTTCTTTTGTGAAGCTCCCGTTGCTTCCCTTTTCCAGGCTCCTGGACAATGTAGTTCAAATCTCCATTGTAAAACATACCAGAGCCTTGCCTCAAATTATGGTTTGTTCTGTGCTGTTGTTCCTCCAATAAGCTGATCATGTCAAGACCAGGAGCTTTGTCTTTTGAATCAGGGTCTCACTATGTGGGTCAGGCTGGCCTTGAACTCACCATGGAGCACAGATTGGCTTTGAACTCATGGCAATCCTCCTGCCTCAGCCTCCTACATGCTAGGATTACAGGCATGAGCCCCCAGTGCCTGGTATATCTTATTCATTGGAAGAGCCCAGTAACAGTTGAATTTCCTTTGTTTGTCTATTTGTTTTTGAGACAGAGTCTCATAATGTAGTTCAGGCTGGCCTTGAACTCACTGTGTAGCCCAGGCTGGTTTCAAACTCATGGCAATGGTCCTGCCTCAGCCTCCCAAGTACTGGGATTACAGGCATGTGCCTGTAATCCCATGTTCAACTACATATAATACCATGTTCAACTACATTAACTTTTAAATAAATAGCTTGGATGTCTAAAAGATATCTTGATGCTAGTTCTTTTCCAGGCACAATCCTATCTATCTCAATTATTTCAGGTTACTCTTGTGTAAAGATGAAAGCAGAGGGCTTCCTTATTATCCTGACTTTGGTGGGCTACCAGCTCTTGTTTACAGAAACACTGGTCTGGTTCCAGATTGACTGATTGATTATTTGGTTCTAGTTACTTAAGCATAAAACTTTGGCATCATCCCTGATTTCTTGTCTCTTCTCTTTTTCCTGCACCATCTTTCAGTTCTAATATTTTGCTGTTTTTTGTCTAGTTGATCTGTGTATTTGTGACAGGGGTGTATTGAGGTCCCCCATTACAATTGTATTAGTGCTTATTTGATTTTCCATGTCTGCTAATATTTGTTTTATATAGTTGGGTGCTCTGCTATTTGGTGCATATATATTTATGACTGTTCTCTTCTTCTTGGATTGTTTCCCTTACAAAGATGTAGTGACCTTTTTTGTCTTTTAATCAGTCTTGGCTTGAAATCCACTTTACCTGCAAGTAGAATAGCTACTGTTGCTTTTTTCTGAGTTTCTGTGACATAGAATATTGTTTTCTATCCTTTGCTTTTCAGCCTATGAATTTCTTTTTGAATTAAATGTTTCTTATATGCAGCATAATGTTGGATTTTGTTTCTTACTCCATTCTGTCAGTCTGTTTCTTTTGATTGATCTTGCACCACTTTTCATCACCTACCCTGCTATACCCAGTTCCTTTTATTTATTTATTTATTATCGTTTTGAGACAGGGTCTTACTATGCAGTTCAGGCTGGCCTTGACTTTGTAGCCCAGGCTGGTCTCAAACTCACAATGATCCTGCAGCTTCAGCCTTCTGAGTGTTGGGATTACAGGCATGAGCCACCCTGTTCAGCTTACCCGGTTCCTTTTAACATCTTCCCTTGTGATCTTTGCAGTTGTCCTATAATTGGTCACCTGACTTTGAAACTTCTATCTCTACCAGTATTTCCAACCTCACGGTTAGAAAGACTCTTATTTTACATTTAAAAAATATGTAAAACTTAGTGTACTAGTTACCTTTCTAGGCATTTTATAAATATTGACTTACTTCTCAATGATCCTCCTAAGTAGATGCTATAATTAACCCTGTTTTACAGGCAAATACAATGAGGACACAAAAGATTACTTTACCCAAGGATGCCTAGGACATAGACATAAATCATGTCATGTTATTTCATTGCTTAGAAAGGTTTACCAGTTTACCTTCTCAGTGAGAATACAAGCCACATCCCCCAGAGGCCTAAGAGTCTACCCAGTAGGCCCCCTCTTAGCCAAAGTTTCCATTTCTGCAATTTTAGTTACCTAAAGTCAACCTCAATCCCAAACTATTACATGGAAAATTTCAGACATAAATCATAAATTTCAAAATTTTCACCACTGAGAATTAATGAAATCTCTAGCCCTGTCACCCTGTCCTGCCTGGGACAGGAATTATTCCTTTGTTAGCGGCTCCATGCTGCATGTGCTACCTGTCCCTTAGTCACTTAGTAGCCATCTTGAATAGTAGATCCACTATCATGGTACCATTGTGCTCTTGTTCAAGTAATGTTATTGTTATTTAATAATCATGAGGCCAGTGAGTTACCAGGGCATAAAATGGAGGACAGATGAACTCTGGTGCTACACAGCAACACTGCAGCGAGAGTGGGGGGAAATGATAGTAGAGATAGGGGTTGGTGTTACCTATGGCTTCAAGGATTCAATGGGGAGCTGCTGTAAATAATGAAGGACCGCTAGATCTGTACTTTCTCTTCCCTACTTTATTTTCATAAACATTTACTGCCACCACGACCGCCACTACTACTACTACACTACTAGTGCTGTATTACTATTATTTGGGTCTATCTCTTCCCAAACAAATTGAGCTTCACCAGGAGGGCAGCCAGGGATTTGAGGCTCCCTGTTTTGTTTTTGTCTTTTCAGTGCTGGATCTCATGCCTAGGGTTTCTCAAATGTGATACATGTGCTCCACTACTGAGCTACATCCCCGGTTCCACTCCCCTCCCTCCTGCTTTTTTTGAGACGGGGTCTCTCCATGTAATTCAGGCTGGCCTTGAACTCACTGCATAGTGCAGGCTGTCCTCAAACTCATGGTGACCCTCCTGCCTCAGCCTCCTGAATGCTGGAATTACAGGCATGTGCCACTACATCATTTTAAAATTGAGCCCCTCCCCCCCAGATGAATCCCTATTAGCCAGGCATGGTGCCACAGCCTGTAATTCCAGCACACTGGCTGCTAAGGCAGGAGAATCTCCATGAGTTCAAGGCCAACCTGGGTTGCACAGTGAGTTCAAGGCCAGCCTGAACTACATAGCAAGACCCTGTCTCACACAAACAATATATAAATAAATACTGTAATTGTCACACAATCTCTTCTCATTTCCTGTATGTGTAAGCAAATGTTTAAGAAAAGAAGTAACTGGAGGTGGACGTGGTCATGCTGTAATCCCAGCAATCTGGGTGGCTGAGGCAGGAAGACTGCAAATTCAAATACAGTTTGGGTAATTTAGGGGTTTAGGGGGCATCTGTCTCAAAAATAAAAATTAAGGAAGGGGGGCTGGAATGTAGTTCAGTGCAAAAGACCTGGGTTCAAATCAGCAGTACTGCCAAAAGAAGGAGGAGAAAGAATAAAGGAAGGAGGGATAGAAGGAAAGAACAAACAAAGGAACAAAGGAAAGAGCTGGGCATAGTGGCACACACCTGTTCCAGCTACTCAGAAGGCTGAGGCCCACCTAGATAACATAATAAGCTACTGCTCTTTCAAAAAGAAAAAAAGAAAAAAAAAGACATTCTAGAGTATTGTGCCAGGGGTGGAGCATGCCTGTAATACCAGCACTCAGGAGGTTGAGGTAGGGCTACAAAGTGAATTCAAGGCCAGCCCGAACTGCAAAGTGAGACCCTGTCTCAAAAAAAAAAAAAAAAAAAAAAGGGTATTGTATAAATACAATGTTTACATATGTTGCCATCCTCAACCTTTACTATGTTATACAATAGTACCAAATACATTGTACCAAAGTAATGCTCTGCAACAAAGTAATACATTGTTAAGGTAGTGTGGCTGGGGTGGTGGTGGGGGGGCGTTGTTCTGTTTTTCCGGGACTAGAAATTGTACCCAGGGCCTTCACGCTAAAATACATCCCCAGTTGTGGTGGTTGCTGTTTTCAGATAGGGTCTTGCTGTGTAGTGCAGGCCTTTAACTCACCCTGTAGCTTAGGCTGGCTGCACTCCCGGTGATTCTCCTGCCTCAACCTCTGGAGCGCCGGAATTACAGGCCTTTGCCATCATCCTCACCTATTTTTAATTTTTAAAAACATTTTGAATGTGTGTTGGGAGTGGTGGCACACACCTATAATCCCAGCACTTCCCCATCTAAGGCTGGAAGATCATGGTGAGTTCAAAGCCAACCTAAACTACCTAGAGAGACATGTCTCAAAAAACAAAACAAAAACAATTTTTTTAAAAAATTTTTTTTTAAATTAGGAAGCTCTTGCTTCAGCTTCCTAAAGCGCTGGAATTACAGGCATGCACAACACCCAGCTGAAAAAGTAAGGGCGTATACAAAGGGCCATCCAATAATGGTAAAGTTACTGACGCTGAACAAACAACAAAAAAAAGATTACTCTATGGTTATTCAAAAATAACAGATAAAGAAACACTAGAAGTTAGAAGAAGAGCCTAAAAAGAACGGTTCTGGGTGGACTTAACGCTGTGTACGAGGACAGCCTTCAATGGATTCTGCTTCCTACTCAAATTCTAGCAAACTCGCGGTGTGGAATGCTAGATTTCGAGAAGACTGCTTCCTTGCGTAATACCTGGAAAGCAATTCAGTGAGTCGAGATACCTTTAGTGTTTTTTAGGACCAAGTTAAAGGTCCTGGGGAGAATGGATCAAAGGATATCTATCAACAGTAACTTAAATAATCAGACATCATTTTTAAATGTTAGTAGTCAGTTTCAATAACTGAACGCTATTTCATATTACTGTATTCTTTTTTTCAACTTCACCCCTGAAATTCTGGGTACTCGTGAGGTTCATTTGCTCCAATATTTACCTTGAGTTGCTCAAACAGTGCTACAACGACTTTTCCTTGACAGTCGTTTTCCTTTGGCGGGAAGCTAATTCTTCGTGTGTTTAAAACATTTTCTTTTTTAAGCGAGGTCTTCCATATTCACAAGAACCACCTTGCTAAATAGTAAAAATGCTTTTTCTCAGAGATCCTGTGTAGAGTTGGGGAGTTGAAACTCACGTTTTCACTCCAGACCAGGGGCCCAGCGCCTATTCCTTGGGAACTTCTCTGCAGTTTTTATTATTTTGCAGCTTTCAAAGTATTAACACGAGAAGTCGAAGCTGGAGGGTGCGGCCTCGGAGGGTGTCAGAAGACGCAAGCCCCAGCGGCCCACGACTATGCCGTGCTGCGAACAAAACTTTCTCCCCGCTTTGCGGCTCGGGTCCCGGGGAGCCTCGGCGCCAGCCTCGCCGAGCTCGGCCCCGGCCCCCGCGACCCTCCGAAGCCAGGCGTTCCCGGGGCCCTGCGACGCCGCGCGGGCGGACAGGG